GTTATTATTTTTTTTAAAATTTTAACAAAAATAATATAAAGTATTTAATCATTTAAATGATGGAAATAATTAAAATAAATACCAAATAAATATAAAAATTTATGAAAATATTTTTTAAGTATTTTTTAATGTTAGAAATAAAATAACAAAATCAGAAATGAAATAAAAATGCAAAAATGATAAAAATACAAAGAAATGGGCCAGGGGGTGTGAACTGAAAATGCAAGTGTTAGAAGCAAACAAGCCAGCCCAGTCCAATAACTTCATCTTCTTCCTCTGTTCAAACACAAAAAACGCGCCTTCTGTGTACAAACTGCTATCTCCTGATTCAGTGCTTTTTTGACAAAACTCAAAACAGAAACTTGTAGAGCATCAAACAACGAATCTAACCATATAAAAAAACTTAAGCTAACTCTCAAAGACCAGAGAGAATTTCTCTAGCCCTAATTTCTAACCTAGTTTTTTCAGAAAGTTCATGGATGAAATTCTCCTAGCACGATTAATATAAATGAAAACTAAACACATGTATGGTTTCAGGGCTATGAATACAACATCTTTCATTCACAAACCTAAGTCTAACTATTCCTAAATAGAGAGATAGAAGTTCATGAAATACCTGTTTCAGTTGAGTTCGAGCTGGACAATGCAGCAAATTTCAATGGTGCTTGAGGTTCTTTTGAGCTTGCCTGATGTCCACTGAACCTTTCCCAATGCTTAGTTTGTTTTGAAGGTGGCCTGAATCGTTCTACAGAACTCAACCTGCAAAGCTTCCAAACAAAAATGGCAATGTGTGTTAATGGAGTTTACAACAACTTGTAAATGGTCTGGACAGCTTAGGTATATAGTTTGGAATGTGTTTGAAGTGCTTTTGGACAAAACGCACGAGGGAATTTGAATGTGGCTTGCAATATGCAGAACTGGCCCTGTTTTGCAAGAAAATGGAGATTTTGAGTATGAGGAGGTTGAGTGATGAAAGGCTCGTGCTTCTGACTTGCAAGGGTGTATGAAACTTGTTTGACAACTTTGTTTTAGTTGGTTTTATCAGATGTGTGAGATACCTTGTGTTTGACAAGTTTCTTGTTTTTGAAGCAAGAAAGTGGAAGTGAGGTTACAGGCTTGTACAGGCCATCTTATCACCCTGCATACAATCCTCTTGGCCCCTCTAATTAGTGGATTTGTTTAGCTGCAAGAGATTTGTCTCTATGCTCAAGGATTAGTGGTTTGACATAAAGCAACCTTTTGCAAAAATGGCAATGTGCCTTTTACCATTTAGGGATTAAACTTGTGTACAATCCTCTAATGTCCCAAAACAAAACCTTATACCAATGGATTTACATTTAATTGTTGAGTACAAATTGTTTTTAGAGGCCTGTCATTGTGTACAAAGCTAGCTTGGTCAGATTTGCAACTTGGTATGAACATGTATTGGCCATGGTTACAAGTGAGTTTTTGTCAACTTCAAGCATTCGAATCTCCCTAACCACAAAGGTGTTTGAGGAGTTCTTAGACAATTTGGAAAGCTTGCAACATGTACTATAATCCATATTTGAAATGCAACTTGAAAATCTAAGTGAAACTATGTGAAAAATGGCCCAAGAAGATGGGTCAAAATCCTGCCTAAAGTAGGGCAAAATTTCTCTATGTTAAAAGTTTTAGGTACCCTTGTTCCAAAAATCATAACTAGAGATCCAAGCTTCTTTTGAGAAAACTTTGTGAATAAAAGTTGTAGACTTTGTGATGGACTGCAACTTTCATGTTGTAAGTTATTTTTGAATCTATTTGTATCTTGGTGAAAAAAATGGACAAAGTTAGGAAAAAATAAGAAAATTTTATAACTTAGAAATTTCTGAGTTATGAAATTTTTCCATTTTAAACCCTAATTTGCAATTTTGGGTTTCTTGATGAACAAGTTTCATAATTTGACATGTCTTGATGAAAAATTACCCTTGGCACTTGATTTTGACCAAAAAGTCAAAGTTTGACTTTTCAGTGTACAGTCAAATTTTGATCAGTTGACTGAAAAATTCATCTGTCAATCCTATGCATTTGAGATCTTTTGAACTTGTTGAATGGGTAAAGATAATGTAATTGAGTCCTTGAGTCCATGGTTTAGTTTGATTTGCCATTGGCTAGGTCAAGCAGTCAAAAATTGCCTTTGTACAATCAAAACCCTAAAAATGACCATTTTGCCCTTTTGGTGATCTGATCAAATTTCTTGTGGAATTGTGATCCAAACTTGATCAAATGGTTCATATGAGTTTCATAATGTTGATGTGGGTCAAATTTCATGAGATTTGACTGTCAATTGGCCACAGTTGACTTTTTCCCCAATATAGCTGATTTCTAGGTCAACTGTCCAATTGACTGGGCAAAGATTTGAATCAATGCTTGAAACTTGGTATGGACAAACTTGTGAGTCCAATATGAAGTATGAAAGTCAATTTGGGCATTGTAAGTCAAAACATCTCTGTGCAAACTCAAACCCTAATTTAGGTCAACAGTGCAAGGAGGTGTCTTAGGCAGAGCAAACCCTAGCTTGATCTTGAATTCCAAGAGTATTGTGATGAGAAATGTTGATGAAATGAGAGGGCAAATTTTGGGGTACAACACTCGCCATCCATAGTTTCAAGAATTAATGCACCGCCAGAGAAGGCTTTCTTGACAACATATGGACCTTCAAAATTGGGAGTCCACTTGCCCCTAGAATCAGCGTTAAAAGACATGATCTTCCTGAGCACGAGGTCGCCTTCTCTAAATTCACGAGGTTTGACCTTTTGTCAAAAGCTTTCTTCATTCTCTTCTGATATAACTGGCCCATGACACAAAGCCGTCATTTTATTCTCTTCAATCAAATTCAATTGGTCAAACCTGTTCTGGACCCATTCAGCCTCTAACAACTTGGTTTCCATTATCACACGCAAAGAGGGAATCTCAACCTCAATTGGGAAGTACCGCTTATATTCCATACACATGGGAGAATGGGTTTGCTCCTGTTGAAGTGCAGACAGATGTTCGATATCCATGCAAAGCAAAAGGGAGGCATTTCATGCCAATCCTTATAAGTAACAACCATTTTCTGGATAATCTTCTTGATATTCTTATTAGCAGCTTCAAGAGCCCCATTCATATATGGCCTGTACGAAGATGAATTATGATGGACAATCTTGAATTCTTCACACAGTTCTGTCATCATCTTGTTGTTCAGATTTGAGCCATTGTCAGTGATAATTCTGCTCGCACACCATACCGACATATGAGATTATTCTTAATGAAGCGCATAACCACCTGCTTGGTGACATTAGCATATGAAGCAGCCTCTACCCACTTGGTGAAGTAATCAATTGCTACCAAGATAAAACGGTGTCCATTCGAAGCTTTGGGTTCTATCATTCCAATCATGTCAATATCCCACATAGATAAGGGTCATGGGGGAAGAGATCACATTAAGAAGTGTCGGAGGAACATGAACCTTGTCCGCATAAATCTGGCATTTGTGACACTTCTTTGCAAATTTATAGCAGTCAGATTCCATTGTCAGCCAATAGTAACCTGCCCTTAGCATCTTTTTAACCATCGAATGTCCATTGGCGTGAGTGCCAAATGAGCCTTCATGAACCTCATGCATCAACATGTCCTGCTTTGTGTCTATCCACGCATCTGAGCAGGACCATGTCATAATTTCTCTTTTACAACACATTTTCACTGAGGAACAAACAGCCAACCAATCTTCTCAATGTCTTTCTATCTTTATTCGAAGCATCAATCGGGTATTCCTGAGTTTGGAGAAAATGCTTGATATCATAATACCAAGGTTTCTCATATGCTACCTCTTTCTATTGTAAACACATGAGCGGGCCTATCCAGTCGTTGAACTATAATTCGTAGTATATCATTCCAAGTATTCACATGATACATAGAAGCCAAAGTTTCGAGATGCGGTCCGCCATTTGATTTTCATCTCTAGGAATGTGATGGGAATTCAACTTTATTAAAGAAGGGTAACAATCTTTTAGCATAATCTTTGTAAGGGATCAATCTGGGGTGATGAGTATCCCATTCTCCTTTAATCTGATTTATTACCAAAGCTGAATCTCCATACACATCTAGAATTTTAATTCTAAGATTAATAGCTTCCTCGAGACCCATGATGCAAGCCTCATATTCTGCCATATTATTAGTACAATCAAATGTCAACCTTGCAGTAAAAGGAATGTGTGATCCATGTGGAGTGAAAATCACAACACCAATTCCTTTACCATAAGCATTCATAGCTCCATCAAATATCATACTCCAACAAGATTCAGGATCAGGACCTTCTTAGGGCAAATGGTTCATCACAATCTTTCACTTTCAGAAACATCACATCCTCATCGGGAAAATCATACTTCACAAACTGATGATCGTCAATTGGTTGGTGAGCAAGATAATCTGC